GGCGAGCATTCTCTTCTTCGACGGCATATCTGGCACCATCAGCTTTCGAAGAAACACGACTTCTGGAATCACTTGGGGATGCGGAGCTGCGCGATGCGACTTGGCGTCTGCTGTGTTTTGCAGACTCGACGGGTGACGTCTTCTTGGGACTAGGTTTCGCAACTGACGATCCTTCCAAGTCAGACACATTACTTCTCTCCGACACAGATGGGGCTTCTTTACCGAAGGCACGTTCAAGGGATTTTCGGCCTGTAGACTCGACTTCACCTGACCCTCCTTTCGCCGATTTAGGCGATGACGGCTGTGCAAGACTGGACCCGGCCGATGCCGACTTCACGGAATCAATACGCCCGCTCACTGATTCCCGACTTCCTTCCGATAAGGCCAACGCCTCGTCTTCAATTGAGGACTTTATGGAATCAACTATGGAAGACGCACGACTTCCGGAATCGCCAGACGAAGCCGCTTGGTGTGAACTCTTTTTGGCAGCTTCAATCACAGGAGTCGGCTGTTTGTCTAAATCACTACGCAATGACTTGTGACAGCTGGAAGAAGCAGCAGACACAGACAGTCCTTCTCCAATAGGCGGGCGAGCATTCTCTTCTTCGACGGCATATCTGGCACCATCAGCTTTCGAAGAAACACGACTTCTGGAATCACTTGGGGATTCAGAGCTACTCGATGCGACTTGGCATCTGCTGTGTTTTGCAGACTCAGCGGGTGACGTCTTCTTCTGACTAGGTTTCGCAACTGACGATCCATCCATTTCAGACACCCTACTCCTCTCTGACACAGATAGCGCTTCGTTAGTCAGGGCACGATCAAAGGATTTTTGGCCTGTAGACGCAAGACTTCCAGACTCGACTTCACCTGACCTTCCTTTCGCCGATTTAAGCGGTGACGAATGTGCAAAACTAGACACGGCCGATACCGACTTCACGGAATCAAGACGCCCGCTCAACGAATCGGAACACTGATCTTTAACAGGCGTGGAAGTACTGTGTGCCGCAATGGCAGATTTGATTGAATTGGCGTCGAAAGAAGCACGACTTCCAGAGACACTGGACAAGACGGACCTACTGGGTGACGAGGAATCAAGATTTCCGTCCACTGAACCCGTTTGCTGCACTTCAGGAGTTGCTTTGATGGACTGCGTTCTTGTTGGCGGTTGACTACTGGAGTCTGTGAACGCGTCGGAACTGTACGTGGCAGTTGGACCTGAAGACGCAGAATGTTTGCTCAAATCCTTCGACGATGCCCGTCGAAGACTAGACGTGGCAGCAGATGCAGCCGAAGTCAGCCCCACGGAATCCAGCCGATCGCTCGCTGAATCTGAGGACTTGCTCTTTTCAGAAATCTGAGGATCTTCCACCTCAACGACAACTTCAACGGAGTCGGTTCTGGTGGAAGCTCTACCTCCGGAAGCACTGCAAAAGCCAGACTTTCCAGGAGACGTTGGCTGTTTTCTTAGGTTCTGTTTGAGACTAGACTCGGTCGATTTCACAGAATCAACACGCTTGCTCAGCGAAGCTGAATCTTCGTGTTTTCCCGATTTGTTATGGATTGCAGATTTGATGGAATCAACTTTGGACGACGTTCGACTTCCGGAATCTGTAGAGGAGCCACGACGTAGTTGACGGACACTGCCCATCGCAGACTTAATAACGGGCGCAGACAGTTTATTCAAATTCCTGAACGAAGTATGGAGAATGCTGGACGTTGTGATGGACGCAGCCGCAGAGACAGGCCCGAGCGAGTCCGAGGATTGACTCTCCTCCCTGACAACAGACTCGACAGATTCAGCTCTAGAAGCCTGCCCTGTCGCAGAGGTATTGAGCGATCTGGTACTTTGGACAGACGACGATTGACAAGCCCTTATTTGACCACTAAGGCGTTCGATTACTTCATTGCAGAGCTGAAATGGCAAACGAAAAAAATTGAGGCATTAGATGACACGCACACACAGTAGGAGACACCAGCAGGCGCAAACTAGAGCCCACCTTCTTGTGCTGGAGCAGAGTTTGCTCCAAGCGCACCAGACGGTCCTTGTGGGCGTGCTGGCATTGCTCTTCGATGAGGGCCAGCAAGGCCTGCTGCTCGCGCAATTTCGCGGTCAAGCAGGTGACTAGTGAGGCAGTTGTGTCGTCGTCGCCGACGCCGCCTGTTCCATCCGAAACCGAGGGCGGAGAGAGGGCGCACACACGCTGTCTGGATCCCTGTCGAATGCGAGATGCCGACGAGATGGAGGAGGCTGTCGAGACGTCCTCGGGTGACGCCACAGACTGCGGAGACAGCTGGCTGTTGGCAGTGATGGAAGGATCCGCCGACGCAGACGGCGAGTGGTCTACAACAACCTCTCTGATTAGTCTAGACACCAGAACCACGTGACTTCAGGTTAGATCAAGAAGAGAGAACCTGGGGAGGGTAGATCTGCGGCTGGTGCAGAAGTGCTCAGAGACAACGGGATGGCACGCGCCTCACTTCCAGACTTCGGCAGTGACGAGGATGCAACAGGCGTGGAAGTTGACGCGCACGCTGCCCCATCGAAGTCCTCCAACACGCTTGGGGATCGGGACGTGGATGAGGCCACTTCGCGTGTTGCCACAGTCTCGTGAAAGGTTGCCTGCGCAGCGGCGTCGGCAGTGATGGGGGACGTCTGACGGTCCGACTTCTCCGGTGATGACTCCACGGTGGAGATTTTCGGACGAAGAGTTTCGTCTAGTCTGCAAAGACAAAACACCCAACTGACGGATAGGCGGCCTTGTCCGGCTAACTGTGTCTGGGATAAGAGAGAGCAAGTAGTGTTCCACAAAAGTTGCCGATGCGCTCAAACAAGGCGTCACCTTTGTCATCAACATCACCATCGACGCGTCAGCAACTGTTCGCTTACCTTTGATCGCTTTTTTCGCCAGAAACAGACGACACTGTCGGCGATGCAGGAGTCGGGAGGAGGTTAGCACCGCTTTTGATGGCCTTGCTGAAGACTTCCAAGGGTCGACGATGTGGATGTGGACGTGTAAGTGCCTGGGGGCGAAGAAGAAGGTAGTGTGAAAAGCCCACTTACAATTCAACATGAGCAAATACAATCAGCGAGAACAAGCGGGACCACCCCCCCCCCCAACTAACCTCGATTGCCTTCGATTCGAGGGCCTCGACTTTGCGCTCCTCACGGTCAAGTTTGGCGGCGTACTTGAGCAGCAGCTGAGCCTCCTGTCGACGCGCGTTCAGCTCGCAGGCGCGTTTCTTTAAGATGCTACAAGACGCAAAAACACACACAAAACAAAAAACTAACAGAGCTACGAATTGCCACGCGCTAAGCACCGACAGCAATAAATGATCAACACGCTTCGATCACTGCTGACTTCTGATCACGAGCGACGTGATCGCACAGACCACACGTTGATTGGCCATCGCACGAAGTTGAGCAGAGCTACTCAAAGCGCGGTGTGCAAAAAAAGCACTCCATCGGCGACGAATTCGAACTCGGTGCAATAGTGTGTAGCGTAACGAGGATTAAACAGACATTCACACGATAGGTTGGACGGCAATCAGGGCAGACGTCTGCACGCAGAATTTAGCTGTCACACACTAACTCCAGGCAGAATTGGTAGTTTCGGTGAGTAACGTGGTTAGACTAATTGTAAACTAAGACACCGTTCGTGTGAACGCCGACACAATAGGTCCAACGGCCGCTGGCATCAACCACGTAATAGCATGTCTACTAACACGTATTCAGTAGGTGGTTTGTTTTTATTTTGCACCAGAATGAAGTAAAACGGATCGCCTACCAATTGAACCTATCCGACTTGAGCTCCATAATGTCACCCAGTGCAGTAGATCGCTCCAGATTCGACGGTGTGTACGGCGTGATGCTCATTTCGTGCCCCAGTGCTTTGGTGTTTGGCGGTCTCAGGTGGGTGGTGGCGGTGGCTGCGTCGCCGTAAGGTGTCAGCTGGAGTGGCGGAGGACGCGGCGAATGATCCAAAGAGTTGATGGAGATGTGGTGACTCAAGCTCGTGGTGGTGGCGACGGAGAGGACGTCGTCTGGGACGGTTGTAGGCGAGGAGCACGCTAAGATACACAAAAAACGGAGATCACTAAACAGAGGGATTGTCTGGCGCACAAAACAACTCTGGAAGGTGGCCTTACTCGAAGACACTGGCGGTTCTGTGGAGGCGAGAGGCAAGTGGTTGTCGTTTGATGACTTAAAAGGTGGCACAATGGTTGTGGAGTGACTTCGCGTCACCACTTCTGTAAAGACAATAGGCGAGACGGCGGTATGCTAAAACGAAGACAAACAGTCATTGGTTGCCCTTCCAACGCCAGTGAGCCGCACCACATGCTATAAAACTCACCGTGAATTCCTTTTTTATTTGTTCGACACGTGATGGAAGAAGAGGAGCATGGCCGTTGTTGGGGTTGTGGAAGTAGCCAGCCTAGAAGTGGATTATAAAATTTAGAATATTTTTTCTACTCAAAATTAACTAGTAGCATGTCATGGGTTAATCGCACGCGGTGTACCTGAGCCAGTTGGTAAATACTGAGGCCCTCGGTCTGGGCCTGTGAGATTTGCCGCGTCATCTCCATCCCGTTGATGTGCTGCTCGGAGGCAGCTAGCGCATCGTATCGATGGAACTCTGCGGCGAGACTAAGTCCAAGTGCTGTCGGGGCTAGACGAGAAGCTTGTGGCTGATGGTTGGTTTGGCCTTGAATAAGATTCTGTAGCTTTGACTCACGGATATCGCGCTGGCGGTATGTCAAAGGCAACTCACTCTCCAATTGCGTCGAGGTGGTACACTGTCAGAAAAAAAGCGTTACTTAAATGTGCTCAGTAGGCAGTGCGTCGAGTTCACTGTTGGAAGAGACCTACCTCACCAGCACTGGGAAGCGATGATGCGGCGTCACTGGTCTTATCCTCCTCTTCGTCCAGTGTGCCCGATATCGCCGACGACGAGGCCAGCGGAATCATGTCTGACGTAAGAATGTCATCCTTGTCGTCAATGTCACACGTCTTTTCACCGTCAAGACTCACGGTGTCGACGCTGGTCTGTAGATAATGACGACGTTCCGTTCTTGAAGGTACCAACGGCTGCGTATTAGGCTTGTCCAACCTACAGCAACCAAATTACAGGGTAATTTCGTGATTAGACAGTCGTGGAGGTTCAAGAAGGCAGACTTACGCATCACCGCATGGTCGAGCTAGCTGGAACTGCTTCTGCTTGCACACCGACATAAATCTGAGCGGGTCGTGTTGAGAAAACAGCAGGCCCTCCGGCTTGATTGGGCGTCCGCGCTTCAACTCACTTTCGACGCATTTGTAGGGTTCACTTGGCGACGACAGCTGGTCTAGTGGCTGTGCATTCGCAAGAAGACGCTTCGTGCGTGGTAGAACGGAGATCTACAATTAAAGGGAGCGTTGAACTTCCACAGGAGTGGATATATTTATCTAGAAAGGCTGTCTTGGACGCACCTGTTCGTCGGTTGTCGTGGAGGCGCGACACCAAGGTGGGTTCGTGAGGTGTTCCCCGTTGACAACTGGAAGTGGTTCCACATCGTCGACGTAGGAATTGACCACTGAGACGTCGTCTGAACTGCTGGTGGAGGCAGCGTCCTCAGTGTGGCCTGATTTCGAGGGGGAGAAAAAAAAATATACCAACCACGTAATCCACACACACACACACAGAAAAAGACGAAAACGAGGGGAAACAAGAAACCCACCAACACCGACGCCAACGTCTTCTCCGAGATGAACGAGTCTCCGCGCACGGCTAGCGCACAGACGAGCCTGCAGGCGCGCCTGCTCGCTCCGGAAGTCCTCACGGTCTAGAAGCGACGGCGTTGTGTTCACCGCTTTGAAAACGCGCTGCTCCACAGTCGTGATGGTCGCGGCGTGACGAGCATCCGCGTCTCGGGCTGCGGGTCTAGCAGCACATCGGGGGAGGGAGGAAAGGGGAGAGGAAGCATACGTAAGATGGCGATAGATAAACACGACATCAAGCGATCACCCGATAACTGCTCGAAAGTCGACGTGAGGCGACAACAGCACGCAAACGAGGGGGGCGAGGGGGTGTCACAGCAAGCAATTAGATCTAATTTTTTGGTGGGGAGGGGGATACGGGGTGCAAATCGACGCCGCGACTTCGCAACTCGAAAAATTGTGAGAAAACAAAAGAAGAGACGGCGTGGTGGTTATGTCACAGGATGGGTTAGCACTCAGAAGCAGGCCGATGTTAAAGTCACTGCAGCATAATAACTCACCCATCTGGTTGATTCTATGTAGGTTTGTGGAAATGTGTGCAAAACGAATTAGAAGCACAACGACGCCGCAATTAAACGCAAACAGTCAAAATCAGAGGGCTGGCTCTTAATGACCACGAATTTGGATGTCCATTCAAGACAACAACAGACCTTCGACAGTGGAACCCCGAGTGAGACAGGCAAAAAATAAGCTTTGCCTTTTTAGTATTGACTGTTTGCGTGGAGATATCGGGCCTTTACAAAGAAATTGGCCTCATGGGATATTTGCTAAAGATGGCTCTTTAGAACAACTAAGTTATCGATCTCTGCGTCGAATCTATGAGAGTTCGTGGTTGTATGAAATGCCAACTGAAGGTACATTGACAGTAAGCACACACGCAAACACTCCCCGTGGGACTGTGATCTTGTAGACGATCTCCGAGTTTCGTCTCTGTCAAATTTATCTAGAAGGTCAGCATCGCATGGCACGGTAGATTATCCACAGAAGTTTTGAATGTCGTACAGAAACACGTGTGACATGCAGGAAAATTTGAGAAGCAAAGTCGGCCACAAGAGGACAAGTAAACTAAGGCGTGTGTGGAATTTCTTTAGTGTCTGGATTTGCACGTCAACCTAACTGTGCCATGATCTGCTAGAATTAACGTTTTACATTTTATATGATCACGCATGTAACTGCTGACATTTCAACCCAAGGATTCTCCTTCAGCAGGCATCCAGTGAACAAAAATCGACGTCTTAACGTGTCCAGGTGTGAAATGTCGCCTTTTAAGGTTTCGAATGAAAACTGCGGTGGCTTACCCCTGGGAGAGAGTAGGTCGTGGACCCCCACGATTGTTCAGCTGTGAGATTCGTTGAGGACTACCGCCGACGACGCGTCGGTTCGGTTTGGTGGTCTGGCTCTTCGATGGAAGGCCTGTGCAGGAAAAGAGAGAGGCGAAAAGGTCAATCACAAGTAGACCAATCGTTGTCGTTGTAACCAAAATGGCATTGGGGTCAGCATGCTGCCAGACTCACTGTTAGACACGATGGCAGCTCTCGGCCTGGTGGAGAAGCTGCTCCTGTCGAAGGCGTTGGATAGCGTAGTAGGGTATGGCTGGCGGAAGCACGCGTCTGTGCGTATTTGGTTGTACACGGATTGGGTGGCAGACGCGGACAGGGTGAGAGGGCGTGTTTGCTGAACTACACACGAACCCCCTAAACAATGGACACGAAGCACAAATCATATTCTAGCCCAATAAACCATCGTGAGCGCGCCAAAGAGAGAGTATAGGCGTAGTCATGGAAACAGACAAGCCACCATCACCGATACGAGAGGTAAAACACGACTCCCCGTGCACCAAACTCACTTAATGTTGGTCGAGCTGGAGGCGCCGGTGCGTGGCTTTTCGGCGGTTTATTTGCGGTTTTCAGGGGACGGCGTTCCACCTCACCCTGACGTTCCCGGTGGTTCAGCTCGTCATCCTCTGCTAGGAGTTGAGTTGCACGCACCACACACTCCATCGGCATGGCGTCAACGGGAGCAGCGTCTGAGGGCTTGATGGAATCGCGTTTATTCTACAACACACAACCACAAAACACCATGCGACGGTCGTAATTTTTTTGGCATGAAATAGCTGCCTTGTGGGTGCAAGTTATTTGTGGTGCCTAAGTGTGTGAAAATACAACCATGCTACCAGATTTGATGTGTCCGATCGCTCTAGTAGCCACAACAATTTACATGGAAGAAGCTTTGTCTAGCAGTTCAAAGCATTGGGAACACGGCAGCGGAGTTTGGTATGACCACCGTACCTGAGATGAAAGTGATTGGTGCTTTTTCAGCGACTGCGAGCGTTTAGCAGCCAGCTTGGCGGCCTCAGCAGTTGCAGCCAAGTTTTCGGCTATTCGCAAACGTCGCTCGCGTTCGTTTTGTTCTGCGAGTCTGCGGGCCTCGGCACGAGCCCTCTTCTGTTGTCTTACCAAGTCCTGCAGATCCGCACGGTCCTCATAAGAGGATATGAGGATTTTCCCGTTTGTAGGGGACTTTGCATGGACATCTGCGAAGGCGCGAAAAGGAAGTGTGAGACGAAACTTTGAGCGGATTAAGTTATTGTTGGGTGTCTTTTGTCAACTAACCTCCACGAAAGCTCACAGGGTAGTCGCGCTTAACTGCACTTTGGCGTAGATTGTTTAACGACTCAGAAACTGAGGGATTGGATTCGCACACGGTATTTTCTAATTCTAAGGTGATAAATTGTGGCTGCGGATTATTGGGACAATACGAAAACGGGCATATACTGGCAAATGCATACCATCAGAGTCTTCCTCGCGAAGACGATCGGCAATAAGTCTCTGAAGAGTTGGATTATGGGAACGCCGCCACGACGATGTGGTGGCAACTGTTGCTGGATGGTCTGAATGAGACTTGGCAACAGTCCCGAGTATTTTTGGTTTTTTAGAATTTTGGTCTAAACCGCTAGAGGCCGACTCATAACGAGCCATAAAGCAGGTTTCTGCTAATAAAAAATAGACGATAATGCAATTATACAGACGTGGCTAAGTAAACAATGAAAGACCGCATGTGTAATGGTAAAAATTCTCCACTGGACATGAAGTCATAACACCACCTAACAATTATAACCATAAACACGAGAATGACCAGCATTTGTATTAACATTTTCTGTGTAAGTGGACACAAGCTTCAGTTAAATGAATGTAACTATGACCCTGTTTAGTGCTTAGTCTTCCTTTACGCATTTAAGCGTCAGGTCACACAAAGCCTAAAAGAGAAAGTTGGTTGAGGTACTCCTTATGGTTTAACTAGGTTATAGCAATTTAGAGTCACGCATTTTTCCCTTTTCCTGTGGATGACTAAAAGCTGCATATGAGACTATGACAAAATCTGCTGGTCAAAATCGAAAATTGACAAGGCCTTTTATTGCGAGAACAGCGACTAGTTTGTAGACATCGAGTACGAAATCTGTCGCCAAACGTATATCGGAAACAAGGCAAATGATTACTAGATACGGCCCGATAGCACGATGCTTACATAGGGATTTTCATCAATACCTTGGTTACCTTTAGACATTATCGCGCAACGACTAAATACATGTAGGATGTTTGGATCTGCAGGAGATTTGGGTGTGGTAAAGCCATTTGAAGAACCAACAAAACCAGAAAGCCACAAAAATACAAAATTGAAGTAAGAAATAAAGAGGGACATACCTCTTTCGTTCATAGCGTCTTGTGACGGAATGGGCGACCTAGGACGACCAAGCATCACCTAGACTATGATTGGTCGTAGGGGAGCAACGGATTCTTTAAAACACATAAGTGACAATTAAGGTTTTTGTAAAATTTGGGGATCAGTAAAAAATACAAATACATTAATATAATATGAAGACATTAAAACGCTTTATTGCTGTTTAATAATTTTTTTTAAATTTTTAATGTTTTTGTTTATGAATTTCCTAGGTACATCAGTGTCTGAAGTGCAAAATTATGTGTATATATTCCACAAGATTCCCTAGTTGCACTTTAAAAACGATTCTTAATTTAAGGGGCTTAGCAGATAAATCTAAGCTGGCCGGATGGCGCTAATATTTCACTTAGGATATTAACTAAGTAGCTTTTCACTTTGGAGGCTGTTTTTGGGTCATTTATGTGGCTGTTTCTGGATCGATAACTGACGGTTATTGGCTCCGAAAATAAGTTTTTGACCGAATTCATTTTCTATTTGTCTCTACTAACTTTCAATCCCAAAAATTGGACAGACAACTTATGTCATGTGAATTGTTGTAAAAACGGCTTTTTTTCTGGCACTCCACAAATAGGGTAAAACCATGGATAACCGCAAATTTAGCTTACATGCATATAGCACTCTTTTGCTGTTATACCATTGATTCATTTTCGAACTCTTTGATGCTTACAAGTAGTATAATTTTTAATTAAAAATCATAACTCAAACTATTAGGTAAATATATAGCGAGAAGCCTAGAGATTAAATAAAAGGAACATCTTCAATCATTTTTTTCTATCACTTTACCATAAGTATTTTGTTACAAAATTATGCTTGAATCAACGTTGAAATTTAAACCTCGAAACGATATAATTGCGACTTAGTTCCTTGCTAGGCTGCCTATAACAGTTTGCAGTTAAACAAACGTAGAGTATAATCAAGAGTAAATCGTGTTCTTTGTTGTAAAATATAAACTAGGTTTACGGAAATTTTATAAGCTGACTTAAGTTCTAGTTTGTCGCTTAATTGGAGATATTTGTAATTGGGTACACTAGAACAACCCAAAACAACTTCAAGGTTAAAGACACGTCTGCAATCTCAAATTAACAGTTTGACAAGTTTGAGCCCTTTCGCTGCTATGCTGCTTAAGTTTACAACACCGTGAAGTTGTCGTTGTAAGTCAGGAATGTCATTTACCCTACCTACACAAGTATTTGTCCACCACCAATTCACTGCTCAATGACTCCTGATTTAAACGATTTCACGAAAAATTAAATGCAGCAAACAAATTCAAATTACAAGCAGTGAATTAATTATAATAAACGAAAAGGTGATTAGATGTTAAAAATAGCAAATTTCGCGCGAGGCACAGATGGTCACAGTCCGTTCAAGGACCGACCAGAGCAACAAGCATTTTCCTGTAGTCTCCTGAAGTGTCATCCTCAATCGCCTTCACCAGCGGCTTGTTGTACTTCCTCATGTAGGCGTCTTTCACGTCCTGAAGGTCAATCTAGAAGCGAACGGATTAAAGGGAAGTGAGAGTGAGCATGCGTAGTGACTACAACAAATCCATGACCGTTCCAAACGGTCCATCCCGAAGCCATACCTCACAACGGCCGAGAACCAACCGAATGAGCATCTCGTCACGTGTTCCAAGGCCTGCCATAGAATCGTGGAACCATTCAGCAAGTAGATCATTCTTGTCCTCAGCAAAACGGACTAAATAAAAAAGTTAAGAATGAGCAACAATATATTTGAAAAACTAGGATGACACAACGTCCCCAATGAAATAACATGAGTTTGTGACTGATCAGATGATCCACTTGGTCGGTTGCTTATTAATAAGCCCCACGACACGTCACCCACCATAAATTCACGACTCACTGTTGATATTACATAGTTTTGAGCAGCACTAAGAAGAGTAAGGAGGCGATTTTCCCAGGAAACCTTTAGCTAAAACAGACGGCGCTAGCTACATAGTAAAATCACCTACATTCTTGAATCTTGCATAAAAACATCGGTCAAATACCAGCTTAGTCAACGACAACAACACTTCATTCCAACAACTTCATTTACGCTCTACATGGATGCTTCACAACCAATCCAAACAAAACAGACATTACACCGTGAAATACACTGCTGCAAATACCGCCATAGACACCACAGCATCTTAACGAGATCAACTCCTTAACCACTGAAAAAACAAACTCACATTTCATTAAACCGATTTAGTACAAGCATTACTCACCAATCGAAACCATCGTTCTCTCATAGTAACCCGATGTCTCCCTCTGAATAGCCTTCACTAGACTTTTGCCGTATTTCTGCAACATTAAAAGTTACCTCGATTAAGACGACAGTTAACTACATTTCAACATCAGAGGAAGTAAAAAACCAAACCTTTCCATAGCACTCGGAGATTGCCTTTATCTGGCAGAAACTTCTCTGTGTGAGTATCCTAGTAAACACGGCTTCCTCCGTTCCACAACGTCTAAAATAATTTTTGAAACACTCGTTAAAAATGTTCGAGAAAGAAATGTCACTAGAAGCAGATAGGTAATATGGTGAACTACATGATACGAAAATTGGTGTCGTAACAATCATTGTTTGGTACGTGTTTAAAATAAAAAATCTGCCGGTGTTACTGAAGTTTTAATCAAATTTCAGTGATAAGCGACCTCCTCCTGCAGATCAGTCGTGTGTATTCGAGGCTAACGACAACCAATCAACTGACTTGTAGTTCTCAAATCAAGCCCTTTTCATCCAATCAAATACTTCTTACATAAGGTGGGCTCTGGTCTCAACCACCAACAAGGAATGCACCAACGAATCCAAAACATAGGTGATGACGAGTTAACTAGCAAAATCATTAGGCACGTACTTTTCTCCGGCCGCGTAAAGTTCATCGGCGTCAGTTTGAGCCCGAGCCACGTCGACTGGGGCGTTCTCCTCGCGACAACCCTGCATCAGGGCAACCAGGATCTTCTCAAAGTCTCCGCTTGTGTCCCCACGAATGTCATCCTCCAGTTTTCGATTGAAATCTAGCAATGAAACAACCCTGATTGAGGATTCAGGCTGTGAGGTCAAATAAAGTTACAATACACGCTAGGACAATTCCTTTCAGCAGTAATCTTTTACCTGCCAGGATGAAAATCTCATGCGCTTCATTGAGAGCATCAACGGGAGACTGTACCACGACATACTCATCCAAACCACGAACTCAACTCACACTATCCTCATTACCTAAACACACTCTGAGTTCGTGTT